TTTTCTACAAGAACGTGTCGATTTCCGACATTGATTTACTCTTAATAGAGTTTCTGGATAGAAATATTGGTCTAGTTCTGGGCTTGGATGACCCTACTGAGAAATGAATCTCCCCCACGCTTTTTATGTATTGTACTGGATTCTGCCTTCCATTCCTTGATGGTGTCGCATTTTGCGGTAGTGTTGGAAAACGATCGGGGAAGAATCATACACTAACACATCCACTTTCGTTCCAAACATTTGGTTCCATATATTATTGTAGTGTACACTGTGAAAAGCTTTAACAGCATTCTCACCTTCTTCTACTTGTTTATCAAGTGAAGTGTTTACTGGTCGGGTGAAAATACCCTGAATATCGGCTTAGTACACTAACCGTTCCTCCTAACGGTTTATTGCCTCATCGTGGCTGGGAGGTGCTCCTAGGTCGCGGGCTGCGATGTACAGCAGGGGGATTCGTCTCCACGGCAGGATCTCCCGAGCTGAGAAGGAGTCGGGCGTTTCCACCAGGAAGCCTAGCCAGGAGTAAACCAGTACCAGGATATGTCATCGTCCTAGTACCGAACTAGTCGCATGGTGGCAAATCTCTGATCCACAAGAGCGGTGACTGCCTGTGGTGGTAACGGCCTGGGGCAGACTTTAGCCAGGCTGACCTCGGGATTCCAGGGAACTATAGTGGCTAAGGCCAGCAAATCTCTGGAACAATAGAGATTATGCTAGGGCCCGCACATACTCATCTACCATTAGTTCAACTACCATGATGTATTCGAGAAAATTTAAGTGTCCGTACAATACCATGAACGAGGACTGGTGTATTGTTGGTATCTATCCTGAGCTATGGCTGAAGAATTCGTCTAAAGAGGAGAATTTATAAGAAAAGAATGAGGCATAAATGCTATCGTGATAAATGCATTTATCTTTGTATGACGGTCTTTGCAGTTAAAACCGTACAACCACAGTCATTTTGTTTGCTTCGGCGAAAAAGTTCTATTTTAGTCTCGTTTGTAATATTAAGCGTAACGTTTTTATTTCCCTGTAACCTATCTTTTAAAAATTTGTTTACCTTGGAAGTTCATTGTCGTTTCACGATCAGGTCATTCGTTAAAGAAAAATGCATGTTATCTTGCTAAATGAGGAACCGATCAAGAGATTCAGCATTTCGAATGGGTCATTGTTCTAATGAAGCAGTAAGAAACAGCGACGAACACAGGTTCTCTGTAGGGGGTTTTCATATTGAGAACACTTTAATGCGCCAGTTAGTTCGTAACTTGTATGAGCGTCTATTCGAAGAATTGCAAAGTTTGCCGCAACTGTAGAGACGATGATTACATGAGCTAGGGTACAGTGTAGTTGATTTCTAATAAAGCATTCAAAGGCGAGTACTTTGAGGTAGACGAGGGATGCCGGCAAATTGATGCATAACTTATAAGGGAGGATAAAAAATACGAAGTTCAAGCACTCAGAGACCCCCATATACCCCACGTATGATGGTATACGCCAAATATGCATCAGATCACCTCTACGACACTGTGAGTAGAGCATAGTGCATTGCACATCGTTCAAGAATTGGTTAACACTAGACGCTTTAACCTTTACTCCTTTATCAGGTGTCAATTTGTTTGAAATAATCTAGAGACATAGTTGACCGCTCTACACTACCTAAGCACTGCCTGAGATTTTTTCGCTGTGCAAGCATTTCTCCGTCCTCCTTCCTCCTTTCTTCCTATTACAAGCTTTTCTTTCTAGTACAACTTTTTTCCGAAGGAGATCACTCATAGCATTCGCGCACGATGTAATTGTGGTGCTCATGTGTTCAGAATTGCATGTGAAATACCAGGAATCGTCTCAGAACCAGAACCAATCTCCACAGAACCAAAACCATTGCTTGAATTTTCCACCAATCTAGAAGTGCAGGTGATGCCTACGTTTATTACATGGGATCGCCAGTGAGAATAACTATTCTGTACAATTCAGAAGAAATAGATCTACTCAGTAAGCAAATCTTAGTCTAACGGGGATTATGCTGGATTCCACCGATCCATGGAGACCGACATTTTCAAGCGTAAGTAAATAAATAAAGATGGGAATATCCATAACGTTATTCTGAGTTTACTTCGATTTTCGACCTATTTGGACGAATTGAATTCAAGCAATGTTGGCAAAAAACGAGTATATAGCCACGATGCATAGCTCTAATGGTTTTTGAAGCAGTTTCTAATTCCTTTCTCCTATGTGTTTTTCTTGCAGTGAGCCTCACTTTTCATGTTGTGAACGGTTACGAAAGTACTGGTGTATAGGCACCACTCTTTCACAACTACTGTTCAGGCTGTATTGAATATTGCTAGTTCCCACTAGATACCACTGAGTATCGCATATGGGACTTCTTTTCTACAGACCACTTACTTTAATAGATTAAATAACTAAAAGTGAACTTCGAGTTGCGGTCATATAGCCGACATCTATATAAATTTTTTCCTTTGTTACGCGGCATTCGTACCCTAATGGACACGGGCAGAGCGATGGACATCGATTCGTTTCAATAACTGACGAGTCCAGTTGAACCTCTACGGTTGAGAGGTGTGGACCAATGCCATGACCAATACTAAGTTAACGGGTTCTATATGGATGCAACGAAGTTTTACAGAAAACGAAACATCCTGATTCGTCTACCAAGAAAATGGTGGGCGCGTACGAAAGAACACCTAAACGCTAAGCGTAAAGTTATACAAAACACTTTACTAGACGCATATATGACATACAGCAGACATAGCGGAGAAGATTTTGAAGTAGAATCACCCTTGTCGCACAGAAATTCAATTCATCGGTGCTTAAAAGTCTTGGAGGGTTCTGGATAATCTTCAAATATCTAATAATGACCCTGAACCCTGAACCCTAAAGAATAATGAACCCTAAAGAAGAGTTTCCTGTGATTACGCATGATGTCGCGCCATTTCTTAGATCGATGTTTCCATCTGAGCAGGACACGTTTCTCATCCGTATGAGACTCTGTGCAACTGGTCTCCAATAATAGCTGGAGGACTTATGAAGAACAAAACTATGAGCGTTCAAGGGGAAGTTGTTCACTGTGCGAATAAAATCGTATTGATTAGGTTTTATCTGTTGTGGTTATGAAAATGTGTTTGGCTGAGGCGATTGCATGTCAGTTTGACTCTTCCAGGCTTCGAAGAAGGTGAAACCGCCGAATTATCAGCTATTGTTAGTGAATAAATGCTGCAATAACAATTTCGTGTTTGCTCATCAAGAAAAGAGGTTAAAAGAAAATCTCTCCTGGGATTTGTCATGATGACCAAGACCGTCAGTCGATTCGAAAAGTGTCTTGTAAACGTCAGATATGAGAGTCTCCTACGGGATAGTACAATAACGAAGTGGAAAATATGTCACTAAATCGAGGGTCCATCCACGAGAGGTGTGATGAGTCCGGAGCGAGGTCGAACCAGTACCGTGCTCGTCATTATCGGCATCACTACCGCTGTGCCACCTACCCTGTCGCCTTGAAAATAGTGGATGAAAGATTCAAAAGTTGGAAATTCACTAAGATACGTCTGTCCATAGCACCCTGTACCCCGACGTGAATTGGCAGAGAACGCAAAGACGAGTTCTCTATTGTTATTTACAGTCCTATCCAAGGTCATGCGAAAATTTCAGTGAAATAACATTGAAATTAAAGTCGATGGAGAGTTGCTGCAATATCTTAGTTTTATTAATGATATCGTTCTTGTATTATCAAGTGCTACTAAAAAGGGACGAATACATCAAATGTACGACTTCTACTACCTTGACGTACGCATCGGAAACGTGAGCGTGTATAAGCATGATGAAAGATTTGATAGTATGTGGAACATGCTTTCGAGAAAATAATATTAGGCGTATTCCATATCACTCAAATGAGTGAGTTAATCCTATATTCCGACCGACCGCCAAACCAAGACATCGAAGACCACTTAGGCTGAGTGCTTTATGCACGTTAACGATTACTTACAGACAATACCGGATAGCGACTGGATCCCATTTCATGTCAAATGTGCAGTACGAAGACCAAGTGATTAGATTATTTTCCAAGATGATCATAAACAAAAAAATAAGATTTTCTTCGAGGTGCTTGAACTGTCGGAACGCACTGGGCCACTCTTGCTTATGATAGAGACAAACGGAGAATCCACTTTAACGCGTTTAGGTTACAAAAGGTGGAAATACTAGATTAGAAATGCGGTCTCCTTAAGTTTATCATATTCGCGTCTTTCTAGAAACGTGAACCACCTGTCTAAAATATTACTACCTTTGTTAATATCCTTTAAGGAACAAAATAACGATATTGGTAATTCATGATGCATCGCTAAGGGATTGATCAGCGCCGAGGGTTTCATCATTTGTCCTTTATCCATGTGTGAGTCATACACGATTGACCACGGATACGTTAGATAAAAGTGATAGAAATAAAGTTGCATGCTGTCTAGTATCTTCTTTTCCAAAGATAAGAATCTTATCGTGAGCTAATTGGGGCAGGTATCTGAGTAATTTTCGCCAAATCATATCAGACAGAAAATATTCGCAGTTTAAACCAACCATAGTTGGAGTCTGTAACCGTTAATTTAAAGCACGGCTACCAACCTTTCGCCATTCGATATTCATTTGCTCTTTAAGCGTCTCGCAATTTATTGTCGCAATGGCGCCTGCCGGAACGCTTGTCTCCTCGACTTGTTCCTCTGCTAAATGTATTTGTCTCACCAGCTACTTCTCTACGTTCCCATTTGTTTTCGATTTTCTCCACTTTAACGTTTGCTTCCTTTTGAATGCCAAGCAACGAAAAAACAAGCTTCATCGTGTTATCAAACAGAATCGTTCCGGTGTTGGAAGTACGAGAAGTAGTAGGATTATTTCCTCAACAAATAACAATGTTCACGTATGTACAAACAAAAGTTATTAGAAATATTATGACTGGAAGCTCATGAAGTTTCAAAGAAAATGAATGGTATTAGCAAGGATTAATGCAATGAACTGTTTGAGATTCGCTTTCGTCGAAGACTGTGAGAGATCGTGGTCATGTCATTCACAATAAGATGGGCTACCCTAAATTCTACGTCTGAAATCGATACACTGTATACGCCGGAGTCTTTGGAACAGGTATCATGAATAACTAGGTAGTGCTTAAGAGAGTTCTTCACATGCTCCATTTTGTTTGGGTCAGTAAAAGTAAGGCGCTGTCCATTTTTCAACCACACAAGGCTGCACATGTGATCGCTGTCTTCTAGTTCGCAGGCGATTGTTGCTGTACTACCAGGTGGCACGAGGTACTCTTGTACATCGTCCTCCTCGCTTTCGGTTCCCGATACAACCACTATTACCTCTTTTTCGTCGATACGCTCTGAACAAGGGTACAAACAAACATCACAACAACTGGACAACACAGATCATCCTTTTTATAGAAAGCTCACCTTCAACGACAAGTGTGATAGCGACAGTCTGATCTCCTAGAACTGCTAAATAAGTCCCTTGATCAGATATCTGTGTCTGTGAGAACACTACACGATTCCAGCCGTCTTCGCCAACGTCTAACCGCAAGCGGTCAGTTTCTTGAAGTGGTTTCCGGTCTTTTAGCCACCTAACCGTCTGGTTTGGTACGCTTACTTGGCACATTATCACAGTTGGTTGCCCTTCCATGACAAATTGAGTTTGTGGTGGAGTGATTATGGTGGCGCCCAGACTGTCCACGGAAGCTGCTTCCACAATAAGATATGCGACGGGAAAAATTTCATTGTTAACTTTCAAACTGTAGAGGTCGTTATCTTCCGAAGTGACGTTGTTGATGATGAGCACTTCAAGAAGATCGTGACTTATTCGCTCCAGTTTGCCAGGACAAGTATCTATTTGCATATCGCCTTTGTACCAGTCTATTTTGCTATTGGGCGGTAGATAGTTGTTGAGTTCACAAGTGACTGTAGCTGTCGATCCTATTTTGATTACGTAGCTAGGTATGTTGATGCTGCTTGTGCTAATGGTGTTTTCGATTTCAGAAATGGTGTTCTGTGAGTGATTAAGTGATGCTTGAGAGTGAAGTGATTTCTTCTCTTCCGGATTTGATTCTGATACGGTAACATTGAACAGTATAGAGGTCTTGGAGTCCTCTTCTTCTACGCTTTTCGTCATAACATCACATTCCGGAAGACTCATCTTTACTTCACCCCATGGAATTTCTTCTAAAGAAGCGTAGACACCGTCATGTAAACTTCTAGCAATAATTGAAACAGAAATACCAATCCGGCTTTCCCCATTCACTTCTCCTTGAAAACTGTTCTCGGTGATTTCATCTTGTCGTTCATCGCCCTCAAAGTTGTTCAAACGACAACCTGTTACGGTAAGCGACATAAAATCCACTTGGTCTTCAATTACATTAATCATTACCGACATAGAAATCGGTTCTTGAACAATTTCCACATCAAATGTTCTGTCAGCAGAGAGCTTTACGCTCACATATTGACGTACGTCTTGAGATAGCACGGCAATTAAGCCTTTTTTTGCGTCAGAACGAACGAACTGGAATGATTCATCTACGCTATCTACAATATCCTGTTCAATTTCAGTAATCACGGAATCATCACTAAGAATATCCGTTTCCCGTGGTTCTGCAGTCCTGTTGATGTCATCCGTAATCAAAGAAGAATCCATCTGGGAAAGAAGGGCTTCCTCCAATACTAGATGGAGAGTGTCTTCCGTATTGGATGTCGTAGTTGGGGACCTCGTTTGTACAAATGGTTCGTTATATATGAACTCTGCACTCTTATTGTCTTCAGAATTGCAGCGTATGTCAATGTTAGCAGTTATGCTTAAATTACTTGGATCGCTTTGTTCTGTCAATTCTGGCGAAATCCTCGAATTTCTGTGTGATAGGTTCAACAACATAGGAGACTGTGAGCTCACATCTTTTGGTGAGTTCCTATTAAAGAATTTCACGGTTCCTCTAATTAAGGCAGATGTATCGGTGTCTGTGTTATAGTCGGACTCCTCACATATCATTTGTACAGAACCCCCACTGTCATCAGCTGAGATACTTCCAAATAATATCATAACACTAGAAAGCGAAACTAACGCGGTGGTACTGGCTTGGGAATGTCGTAAATACGCAGCAGAATGAGATGTTCCTGCGTAGTTCGATTCCACAACTTCTTCTTTACCAGGCATTGGGTTCTGATATGGTGAACTTTGTTCAAGTATGAGTTTATTTCCGAGTTTTGGAAGCATTTCTAACGTCGAGGCGTCCGTTAAATCCACGTTTAGTTCTTTTCGTGCTCTAACACAATTAAGATGTCGGAAGAGGTCAAACCTCTCTCCAGCAGATGATTTTTTCGACTTACTTGATGAACTGTCTAAATTCTCCTTACTAGCATTTCTTATGTCTTTATCTGTCGTTGTTTTGAACGTACTACTATCCGCTAAAGACATTTTGCTATCGAGCGAATGATCTCTTGTCTTCATTATTTTCTTCTTCTCATGTGGCCGTGTGAATGAATCAGTAGCAGCACGTGGTGCTGCACTAAGTGTCCTTCGTCTTCTAGGGGGAGCGATAGGTATTTCACCTTTTCTAGAATTTTCTGTAGTCGCAATGAGTTTCACATTGTGCTCATTTTTTCCTGTGCTGTGTTCTTTGGACTGCAATAGCGATTGTTCTACGTTTGTCTTGGCACCATTAAACTCCTCAGTAGGCATTCGCTTCAATTCAAAGATGCTGGTCGATAACTCAGCCTTCTCAATAGCTTTCGGCTGCTTGCCGCGAATCACCGACAGAACGTTAGCTATGTTGGCGACATGAGCACGCACCTTATGAAGAAGATTCATCACAGCATCTGTGCCTTTTTTGGAAAGTTTTGATTGGCAAAATGACTTTATCGTATTCATCTCGTTGTTGATCTGCAAAAAGAGGTCGTGTAGCTCCCTCTTCTTTTGTGTTCCTCCTGTCACTACTACTGAACAGTTGTCTCCCTTTTCCACTGCGTTTGGTAGTGCACTATCTACAGGTATAGCGATAATTTCTTCAAGTTGAGACAACTGATCCTTAATGTTCGACGTTAGAGGGCTAACTTCCTCCGTGTTGTTTGTCACATCTGCATCTTCTATGAATGAGTTCGTAAAGTCCGATAATTTTCGTCTTAGCAACCGAATTGGTCGCTTTATCAACTCAATTTCTTCCTCTATAGTTTTCGTCGGATTCAGAATGATGTCGGCCAACGTGGTTCGAATGAGTTCTTCAGTCGCCTCAGCTTGAGCTTCCGTTACGGGTCGGGACATTAACAGTTCATCTGATACCTTGAAAATCGCGTCCTCTATCTGTTTTGCATCATCATGTTGGGAGATAAGAGGATGTGATGACAGATTTTCTAATTGTTCGTTCACTTCACCAGCTATTCTCTCAACCTCTTTCATTTTATTCATAAACTCTGGATCTAATACAATGTCTCTACTCATGGTCGAGTCTTTAGATACCGACATTCCAGTTTCTTTAAGCGACTGGGACTTTTTCATTTCTGGGTGTTCACGGCGCCGCTTACCATACAGGTCTGCCTTCTCCATATTATGGCTGGAAGAACCTCCTTGAAAAAATTTCTGTCTGTTGTCAATATAGATAGGATTTGATACTGGGTTTGTATGTACTTCAATTTCGGAGTGTGATTTCAGAACTGCACAAGTGTTTTTGTCGGGCAAAGCATTAAATATCTTCTTGATAGAATGCGTTATGTCGAGTTCTGTATCGAATTCGAGAGAGGTCTCTAAGCACGTTTTCTTAAAAATTTCCATCACACCGCTTTCGTTTCGTGCCATTTCTTCCTTTTCAATCTCATTAACGGACATTGCGATTTTGTGTCCTTTATAATACACTTCCTGTGGCAAGTCTAATTCTCGGGGTTCGCATAATTCGCTTGTGAAATCCAGCTCACTTTCTAGCGAACTTGTAAGCTCAGGTGTAATTGCACTATTTATGTTGCACCGTTCCGATAATTCTGCTATGAAGTTAGCATGATTACCACCGATTACAGGGAATGAAATACGATACGATATACCGATGAAAGTCGCTGGCCTCGGAATGACCACATCTACTGAAATGTTCTCTGGTTCACGAAAAAGAAACCAAGCAAACAGTCTTTCAAGTGGCTCCGCTTCCGTTACACGAGCAACTGTTTCGGCAGTGTCAAAGTACTTATGAAAAGCGTTTGTCTCTTCCATGTTCTCGTTATAGTTGACGATTTTAGTAAGATCGAATTCCGAATTATAAATAACCAATGAGTGGCGGAATTCGTCATCGTTGGGAAAAAGCCTGTTTGCTTCTTGTTCTTCCCATTCGAACGAGTCGAAAGAGTCTTGCAGAATGAGGTCCGTCATCGAGGGAGCGTGCTCGATGAATTGAGAGGATCGTTTTTCTGAAATGCAAGCGCAAGTCATTCAATCCATGCTCCACCAGACGAGTGCCGCCAGACAACACATACATAAAGCACAAAACACAAAACAAAACGTAAGCTACTCTACAGAAATGAATGGTTAGCGATTAAAGAAATGCGGTTATATGAGAGGAAATAAGTGGCAAAGGCTACATGCCCAGAACGAATCGTTTACGAATCATCATTAACGTTTTATTTTGTGATTTGCACTTGAAATGTCGTTGCTCGACGTTCACTTGAATTTGGAAGGAAACATTTTCTCATTTAGATTACAAATACTTACTTATGACTTTAAGAAAGCATTTTGTCTCTGCTTTTCCAGCTGTGTTCGAAGCTTCGCAACTGTATTCCCCTTCGTCTTCGGCTAAAACTTCGTTGATCCGCAGAATACAGACTCCGTCTTCGTAAATGATTTCGTACTCCCTTAATTCTCATTCTTAACACAACAAAGAAATGAAAATATTTGCTGTCTTGAAGGAACAATAAAATAAATTTTATTTTCGATAAATGTTAACTTACTGGCTATGTTGGATTTGATCGCCGTCTACATACCATGTGATACTCGGCGTTGGCGTCCCACTAACCATACACTTGAACTGTACACTTTTCCCTACGGTACTGCTACGATCTTCTAACGTCCGAAAGAATCTACGAAGAATATGAGATGAAATGAAAGAGGAATTCATGTCTTTCTGGCAATTTTTCACACAATGAATTTGGGGCTTATTTCAGTGTACAAAACAGATCCACTTAACCTTATTTCTCACACATTTCCTTCAATACATTAGTTCTAGACTGTCTCAGTTTATTTTAGTGAGTGTTACGTTCGGTGTTACACCGTAATAGGTCGTAACAATGTAGATGTCATTTGTACTGCTCAGTATCTTACTTCGGCGGTTGTTGCCCTACGGCGTTGGAAGACTCTGTGAGCGATACGGATACCGGTGCGGCATCAGGTGAATGTGGCCGGTCTACTTTCGTTCGTAGTGGCATACTCACTGATGCAACAATTTCGACATTCTGGAAAATGACATCTTCCATATGTCGGTTTTTATTTCTCCACAAATTATTCATTTTCACGTCCTAGGTGTTTATGGAATAATAAAGTGAAAAGAGGAACAATGAAAGAGTTTGTGCTCGTTTAGTTCAGCATAGTGGATTTGTTCCAGTGCTTCCTTACACACGCTAAAGCGGAGAGGCTACTACACTTTTTAAGAGTTTCTTAAGCGGCTGTGTGTGCATGCCTGTGTTTTTTTTTTCTTCTCACGAAAGCAGTTTCTGGCTTACGTTCTACTACTCACCGCTATGATAGTATAAATATAAGTACCTGACTAGGACAGTTTGCTTCCACCTCCACAAACACCGCCACCACATTCTCATCCACTTCAGAGAAACGCGAGCGGCGGGACCAAACTTCGCGTTTACTCTCCTGATATAATAATATCCAGGGTTCTTGTTAGACGTTAAAATTGAAGATTATTCATTAATCGTCTTGCAAAATACTCTCCAAGAAGGTTACCATTGGTTATTTTTCAGTTACTTCTTTTAGATTTGGACTATAAAGAGCTTTAAGCCGTTTCCCGTATGTTATACAGAAATCCTGACAAATGTTTTAGTAAGACCACAATGGATTGTACTAGCTCTATCCTTTCATAGCAAAATATTCCCTATTGATTATACCTGAACTTGTATTCTTACAACTTCCTGTATCACCTGTAGTCCCGTTGATCGTCGAGTGACTCGAGCGGGCGCCAGTAAATCTTCTATTTTTCCCTATCGCGTGCAAGAGCAGTCCAGTGGGTTCTGCTCGCTCTAGGGACTCGTCGAGCATCATATATTTATTCTAGGCTCTTCGTAAAGAACTCTGACCATTGGGTCGGTGGTCTTCCAGCATTACGTTTGACATCCCGAGGAATTCAGTCACTAACGGCTCTTGTCCATCGGTTGTCATTATACGCATTACGTGTCCGGCCCACCTTATCTTCGACTGTTTGGTGTACAGAAGGGCATCTTTGATTTTTGATCGTTGACGCAGGTCGGAGATTCTTACAACTTATACTCAAAAATTTATACAAATGTCTACCCATGCTTATAGTTTTTATTCGGAATTTTAATAGAATAGACACCATTGTGGTGCAATCATGACGATTTTTGAGAGTTATTGTTTTAATAAAACGAGAGAACATCCATCAATAAAAACCATAACGATTAAAAATTGAATTCCTGGATTTTTAAGAAAATAACCTATCCACAAAATAATTTTAAAGATGAAACTTTTCAAAAATTTAAAAGCATATTTCAAGGAAATTCCTGAAAAGATTATGGCAGAAACCTCTTTTAGACCGCTGAAGACGAGTTGTGAGAGATTGAAGTCAACTGAGTCCTCAACCAGATTCTCATATTCAATCACGAGTTCCTCATGAGCTGTATCACCTTGCTTGACGAGGCTCACAGTCACATTTTCCATCTAACGCGGGAAAACAAATATTTATAAAGTACATATGCAATAGTGGAACAATGAATTTATAGTGTGTTAACACATACTTTCAATTTACTGCTGACAGCGGCGATTCGCAGCAGATCTGGACTGGCTTTTTCGCAATCGACGATTGTTAACACCTCTTCGCTGGCTTCGCTTGGCTTCAAAATTTCAATTTGAACGGATATTGATGGCTCGGCAAGCTCGGTAGCTAGTTTTCTAACCTATAAAGCATAAAAGGTAGAAAAAATGTGAGGATTATTGCAAATTGTGTTCCATGGCTAAGAAATTAAGGACCTTCTTCAGATTCCATGTTATAGCGTTTTTGAAGTTTTGAGACACGCCTTCTAACATAACGATACGATGAGTGACGTTCGCTAAACCCTTATGAGGTGAGCTGATGAGAGTATCTGCCGATGACGACGTGCCTGGTCGCTGGAGGATCGTCTCGAGATCAATGAATTTCATTGATGATGCGTTGGACGACGACAGTCGTAAACCAAACTGCACCATCTGAGCAGTGCATTTCGAAACTTTTCATTATCTATTGCATTACATTCTTAATCAAGCTCGCTTTCGTACCTCTGGTTCTACTACCGTAACTAGGTGGTCAAATTGTGCGTCAGGTTTCCGTACGTCAACCGTGGTCGTTTCCTCACAGCTGACATCCTGAAGATGAATATTTGCAAAATACCCGCCCAAATTTTTATTCTTGCAACTAGTTATAAAAGAACAAGGAGGGATATACGGGTAAACGAACAATTTTGATTAAAACTATTATTTCCAAAAATGGGGGAAAAATGTGTTCTTTCTTACTTTTTCAATAACTTCATGAAATTTTACATTTACTCAACAGCGAGTAAGTCTTTACTCGCTTTTCGGTCCAGAACGAAACTAAAAGGACTAGTGATTTCCTTCGTATTTTTGTTGAGCAAACGCGAGGTGTTACTATTCTTTGTTCACGATTAAGCTGACGTTTCGGCGAATTTCGCCTTCTTCAGAGCCGCTTTCTATGAGGTTTCCACTAAGTATGTCACGTAGAGACCAACCGCACAGAAATCACATGGAATTATAATGTACTTCTACGTGATTTCTGTGCGGTTGGTCTCTACGTGACATACTTAGTGGAAACCTCATAGAAAGCGGCTCTGAGGAAGGCGAAATCCGCCGAAACGGCAGCTTAATCGTAAACAAAGAATAGTAACACCTCGCGTTTGCTCAACAAAAATACGAAGAAAATTACTTGATCAGTGCCGAGGTTAATAGAAAGTCGGTCGTGGCAGTTAAAAGGACTAGCAGTAGGAAGTGAGCTTATACCTTCGTAGAAATTGCAGTATGATCCCTGATGGTCGTTTGCGCCGAAGCAGTGGTCAATGGAATTGGAGTCACATCGCCGATAGTACCAGCCTGCAACTTAAAAATCTAATGATCCTTTATTAAATTGCAGTCATATCATTGAAAATTAAAGGTTATCTCAGACGATGATAGTCGTTTTCCTACCTCGCCCTCAACGAGTAAAGTAGCCACGTTTTCCTTCGTCTCGTGAATAACACTCTTAACGTCAGCAGATCTCGTAGGTTCAGTAGGTGCTTTGTCACGTGAAACGATATTGAGGAAATCCGTGTGAGCCTGATTTCCATAATAGACATGTAGTGTACAAAATTTATCTACACTAATATGTATTCTTTCTTGATAAGCTTGCACGAGGTTGATAAATATATTTATTTTCGGCTAACGTTTCGACGTCTTCG